CAGTTCTTAAACCTATATGCTGTTCGAGCCGCTATTTTCGTCATCATAACGTACAGTGACATTAAAATAAGAACTATATTTATTATAAAACTGCAATAGCCATATTTAGACAAATATCGAGCAGATTTACAGGTTAGCCGATACCGTTTTTCATTATCTTTAGAGCTAGAAATCTGTCTTCTAGTTCTGCAAACAGTCGTTCTGTTCATCTTGGGCCATAAATAATCTCCCGCATCATCTTGGACGATTATCGGGGTGGGAAGAGCGCCATGATTTGACTGACATTCCGGTCAGTTCAACCCCGCGCCTTATTAAATATTCCGCGTTGCTAAATAACATCGTCTGCAGTTGCCTACAAACCTCGTAGTGCTTGAATGGCATCTAATCATTCATATCAACCACCCTTTGCAGATTGACAAGCAGTTACGGAGTCGGCATTACAGTACTCTCCATAGATTTCAGCCGTCCTCGGTCGAAGCAGTTCTGCATTCAGCAAAGGAAGCACTCACATAGGTTTGCTGCAGTTTTTTTGTGTTGAGTTCATCTTAATGTGGCAGGCGATTCAGGCGACTGTGTTCGACAAGGACGTAGTCTGTTTGCATAAATGACGTAGCGTTTCCTTTTCAACTGTTTATGCTGGGTTTTGAATACGCTAGTGCCAATAATGTTTTGAATAATAAACGATCCATCTCACGGTGGCCAAAACGTTTCCACTTTTAAAAACTGCAACGTTTGGTAATCTCCAGCCTGATAATTCTGAAATTTGCAAATTACTTGAAAAATATGTTTTATTGAAATGTTTGAACTCAATCAGTAAGTGGCAAAACAGATAATACGAACAGCATTGAACTTTCACACAGTCATACAAATTCAATGTCATATTAAGATATTTTTTTATGAAACTGCATCCTGATCACCTCATTCGTAATAAAGTATAGGTTTCATTATTAATTTTGAAATCGAATGCTTCGACCTCACCAGTGTTAGACAATTCAAACGATTCTAAAGTATTGATTTTTCTTTGCTTTAGTAATTACCAAAGATATTAAACTTTTCGGAATTTTAAAATGCGACTGCATGACTGATATAAAGTCTTCAATGCAAACAAACTTTAATGGTCCTTTGCTATCAAGGTGCCTCAACTTCCAAACATCTTGAATAATATACGATTTTGAGTTTGTCTTTGTTCAGAGTATTTACACATAACTGCCACCGAGCATTATACACATTGGTTTAGTATTAATCTCTCGTGGAGTTCCTGAAAATTTCCAAAATTATGTGACAGCAGCGATTACTTCATTTCGCTCTTGAGTACAAGTTCTTAATTTGATGTTTTAATCATGTACGTGACATAACACTTGCAAATCACTTAAAATTACAGTATACCCATTGCGAAACAACCAATTGGGGTACTACACGAGTTGTGAATTCGTGTTCACGTTCTGTCAAGCTCAAGAAAATGAATGCATTTATACTCAGCTTTTGCGATAGTTTTGATTTAATGTTGGAGAATTTGGCGATAACTCGTTAGGCGACAAATTGAAAATGTATAAAGCTGATGACATGGTAATCTAATATCAAGTCATTCTCAGCTGATGTAGATGTTTATAGTGCACCTGCTTGGAGAATCCAGAACTGAAAGTTGAACACCACTTATACCATCCACAGTTTGCCGGCGAAACCCTGCTCCTCCCCGAGCTCGAGATGAACTCCAGGCAAGAATCCAGAAACTGAGACGCCAGCATTACGACAGGATCGAAGAAGATTCAAATGATACTTAACAAATATAAGACGCTGAGCTTGCTAACTTAATGCATTTACGCTTAAATAGCTGCGAGATTAACGGTATTTGAGAGAGCTGACCTTTGTTACGAAGAAGCAACTCTTTGAAATCGCTTTCAGGAAACTGATAATATTCATGATCAATAACTTGCTACTGAGCTTGAAGGGGAAGGTTTTTGATGGATGCCTTCTACCATTGTTAACGTATGGCTGCGAAACGTGAACCCTATGCACTCATTTCTTCCTTCTCACAAATCCAGGTTGAGCTACTGGTCATAATACCTTGAGACATGGTCAAACCTGATTGCTGGGCTATCGTTAGCAGTGTACAGCATCAAATTCCTATGTTCGGTACGAGACTCATCAGTCATTCAGGGGAGGTACGATACATCAGCGTAATAACCGCATTTATTGGAATTGCAGTTGACAGTTGTAAAAATTATGCTGAACAAGCAGTGACGCAGGCGAATAACGTAGGTAAAGGCTAAAATCTCAATGAGGTTTGAAATTTTCTTATTAGCAGTTTATTGCCAAAACAAGGAATACTTTTCTCACACTCCTTCGATGCAGTAAACATGAAAAGGGGGCATGCCAATGACTACCAACAACAGGGATATCGTGATGTTCTGGCGTAATGAAGGCTTGTGAGTCTTATGGCATGTTGTCCCAATTTTTAAGCGTGATGCGCAAGTTCCACTCTACCCATTGCCGATTAAATCGGACCTGACAAGAACTAGCCGCCGTTGAACATGTGTTCATTACAAAACAAAGCCTTTTATTTCAAACCAAAAGATTAACTGATAAAGAACGATCAACATTAAAGCAGCCCTGTTAGTCGCAAACCGTTAAATTGAAGAATTCGTTAAAAACTGCATATACAAAACGTAGAAACTGCCAAACAATATCACGACAGCGTTGCATACTGGTCTGAAGGCTTGTAACACAACAGTACACAGGAGGCGACCATTCCAAGGATCTAAAATTTAGCAATTAATTTCGTCACATAAAAATACACGTTCATACGAGTAGGATCAGGAACACCACCGTAGCAGTGGTGATATACTTGAGATTTGACTTGAGCAAATCCTCCCACGCAACCAAGCAGCCTTTCTGATGCAACAGATTTGGTTCACTCAGTTTTCCAGTACACTTATTGCCGAATTTCACATCGCAACATGACGATGGAACAAAGCCGGGATGCTTGGAATACCAATAAGTGCTTTCCCAGTCTGTGTAGTTAGTACTACCACAACATTCAAACTAAAAAAGAGCATGA